TTTTTTTTTTTTTATTTTATATTGACCATGTATGGATTGTACTGTTCTGTGGTCTCTAGAAGGAGATTATATGTTAGAGTGTCCAAATGATTTGTGTAGTTCAATTTTGTATTATCCATTTGTTGACTTTTATATTTGTGTATTTATTCTTGCCTTGAAGGAAAATCTAAATGTCAAACTGGTGGAAAATCAAAGAGGACAATTCAAGGCACACATAAAAATACCAAACAGGTACAGCATATACAACTTTCTACTTATAGAGTTTTAATTTCATTGAGACAATAAATATTGTGTATTTTGTCTTTATGTAAAAATCATTGTAACATTCTTTAGTTAACAAATGTGTGTATAGTACTGTATACCCAGCTCGTACTAAATACTTTACAAATATAAATTTATTGCTGCTTGTCACAGTCCTTCAATGTTGGCATTATTATCTTCATTTAAAAAATGAGGAAACTGAGGTAGGAAGAAGTTCTATAACTTGCTAGTGAGTGACAAAGCCAAGATTTGAACCCATGCCATTAATTTCTAGTTTATGCTCTTAATGCTTCTGCTACACATCCCATATTTGTGAATTCTTTATGATTTTCTTTCTTGGTATGACAGTGTCTTTAGGTTGTAGAATAGTAAGAGTATTGTCTCTAAAAATTTTCACATTGCTTTACTAAAATTTGGAGAATGCAAGCCTACTTTATTTAAAAAATTTTTTTAGCATATGAATAGTTCGCTTTTTAATTCATAGTTATTTTCTCTTAAAGCATAGTTATATATGCTTTTCATATGTATTATTTTGGTTTTGATATTAAATATACCAATATGATTCTGTAAGCCAAAAGCTTCATTCACATAAGGAAAGCAGGAACTTCTAATCAAAATGTCATTGTGAGTTCCTAAGAAAATCCCTGACTCCTCACATACAGTGGTATCAATGATAAAAAAAATAGTTTTAATTAAAAAGATAAAGGATTTTCAAAAATAAGGTAACCATCTCTGTGGATCAGAAGTAAAACAAACACATTGACAGGTAGGTGGAGTTGGGGATGTGAACCTAATCAACAAATCTTAGGGGTAAAGGAGGTTGAAATGTCCTGATTATGATGGGAAAACAGATGGAGGATATGGTATAAAATTTTAGGCTTGTGTGGGGTTCTACATTAGAAGCAAAAAAAGCTACAATCTTCCTGGGGTTGTGCCCTGTGAATTGATGTCTGAAGCAGTACAAGGGAGTAGCCTGTGGTTTATGACAGGATCTGTATTCTTGAAGGGTGAGAGTTTTAAGTCCCCAGTAAAAGACCTCTGGAAGTGAGATCACTTCCAGAGTGGGCTAGATGATGGTCATCATAACACTAGTGCACATGGAGTGAGGGTGAGCAAAGTGAAGAACAAAAATATGAGAAATTCAGACTCAAAATGAACTTGTGATGTAAAATGTCAAAGCACATGAGGAGAATAATGTTATAAAATATAGATAACACATTCTGTGAATGAGGTAATGAAAAGGCATTTTCCTAGAGAAGACTTGTAAATAGCTTAAAGTTCTCAAAGGAAAGAATAACTACAAACAAAAAGGAAAATTCTTAAAGAATACAGATGGATATTAAATTTGAACATTTATGGATGAAAGTGAACCAATTAGAAATCTTATAAATGAAATGTCAAATTAAAAAAAACCCATAATTAATGGAGTAAATGTTGTATTGGACAAAGGGAATTTGTGAATTGGAAGACACTACTGTGGAGAATTTAAAACATGTCTCAGAGACCTAACGAGATGGAAAATAAGAAAGATGGATTCCAGGACTGTTGAAAGTAGAAAATAAATAGTGGGCATTGAATATTTGAAAAGATAATGTTGAAAAATTTTCTCATTTTGAGTTCCCAAGAGCTTCAGAGCATAACTGTAGAGCTGAGCAGGGTAAGTAAAAAGAGATATATTCCTAGCTACATTCTAGGGAGTCTGAAGAATGTTAAGGTTAAGGAAAAAAATCTTTAAAAATACCAGGAAGTCGGGGCTCCTGGGTGGCTCAGTCGGTTAAGCATCCGACTTCGCCTCAGGTCGTGATCTCGCGGTCTGTGAGTTCGAGCCCCGTGTCGGGCTCTGTGCTGACAGCTCAGAACCTGGAGCCTGTTTCAGATTCTGTGTCTCCCTCTCTCTCTGACCCTCCCCCATTCATGCTCTGTCTCTCTCTGTCTCAAAAATAAATAAACGTTAAAAAAAATTTTTTTTAAATAAAAATAAAAATACCAGGAAGTAAACAAAACTACAGAGGAATGACAGATTAATAGCCTTATTATGAACAAAAGGACAATGAAGCAATATATTCGAAGTTTTGAGACAAAATTACTTTTAACCCAGAATTCTATGCTCAGCCAAGTGCAAGAGTAAAATAAAGCCATTTTTAGATATTTTAGACAAAGACTAAGTGTTTGCCACCCACTGACCCTTAATGAAGGAACTATCAAAGATGAACTTGAAGAAGAAAAGGTAACATGGAGGAAGGAGCGTGATAAAAAGGTATGTGTAAAATATGTTCGTAAATCTTACTAACAGTTGATGGTTTGAAAACACACACAATTAGATTCAGAAAAGTGAACTATAGTTTTAGACAATATTAACATGAAAGCTAGATTGTAGGGAGTTAGAATGGAGTTAGAGTGATAAAATCCTTGTCTTATTTAGGAGGAAGTTTTTGTTAGGAAAATATGAAGTAAATGTGTATGATAAAAAGGCCATCTACTAAAAGCAGCCATGATTTCCAAATAGAGGAAAAGAGGAAGTAAATAAATCAAAGCTTTTCAACCCCGTAAAAGGCAAGAGAAAGAAAAG